TGGAGAGTCTAAACGTGTTAGTGAATATAAATTAAAGGAGCACCGTTGGTGGCTTACATTAATCGCGTTGCATTAGGGGAACTTTACACTTTTAAAAAGAAACAACCAGCTATGTCTGGAGCAAGGGCCATACTAATTTAACAAAACCCAGCTGTAAATCGAACAGTAGAAAACTTGAAGAAACAGTAGAAGGAGGAGGGTAAATTTTTTGAAATTGAATAACAAAAAAGACAATTTTGAAGACGGCAGACAAGGAAGTCAAGCTAGGCGAACGAACGTTTTCGATTAAATCATCATCAGATAAATACAATAATATAAGGGAGAGTAGAGTTAACAAATTTTTAAGCAACCAATCAGTAGTAATTAAGGAAAAGGTGGAGAGGTGTTAAGAGATCAAAGGAGTCAGATTCTAGTCTTAATTGGGGACCAGAGAGGGTAAAGGAGGAAGGAAAGGAAGGGGTTTGAAAATTAGTTCACGTCGTCCCATCATCCTTGTCTCGCGTTTTGTTAGGAGGCGTGATGAATTAATCGAAAAAGGTCGTCCGCCTTCCTTGACTTTCTGAATGCTTACATGGGTATCATCACTGACCAGCACACATAGACAAAGATGATTTCGTATCGAAAAATAAGCCGTTTAATTCACAATACGCAACTGCCGCCTTTGCTAAGATAAATATTTTAAAATACCAGAGATAGACAGGAATATAAACAGCATAGCATTTGTAAAAGCAACAAACCAAGGCTTCCCGCGAATAAAGTGTTCATGTTGTCCACTCAGGTTAAAAAGTTCGGTGCGAGAAGGAATCACTGGAAGCGCTGGCACAATTTAGTTTACTGAATAAAAGGCGGATTCTACTAACCTCTCACATTTTAAAATCGCCTCATGGTCGAAAAAAAACTTTTGGTCAAGCTACATGATAAAAGTCACGTAGAACTTACTTAAGGGCCTTTCAATAGAACCGAAGCCAAAAGTATTAACGTGAAATCTTTCGAATAAAGACATATAGAGCTTATCTGAAACGACTTAATCCACGGCAGCAGTATGCAGTATTAGTATGACATAGTTAAACATCTGACTTAGAGCTGTTTGTACAAAAGAATCACTCACATTGACTTACTGTCAAGAAAAAAATGCAGTCATGTGCGGCGCATTAGCGTGACTAAGCTCCTCCTACGGCCTATCAAGCAACTTTAAAAGGCCGCTTTTCTATGAACCAAATATGGTTGAAAGTCTATCAGATGTGTCTCATTTTTGTATCTGTCATAATATTGAAAACTCTTTAGAGGTAAATAATTCACACGATCTATTTTGACTAAGTAATCAAAAGACGGTTTTCGAAAGTCGATTTAGAAATTATTTCTTGTAGCCAATTTTTAACATTTAGATTCCTTTCATATAATAGCTCCCATAAAAAGTTAAGCTTGATACGCGTAGGCTATGTCTTCCTGTAAGTACGAAGTCAAGAAGGCTAACAGATAAATTTTGCACTTTAAATTTTGACCTAAATGAAAGTCATAAAGGAAACTATCCAACAATACATTCAATAAAGGCATACAATTTCCTCCCAGAGGTGATGTAATTCCGCTGATAATTTTTTAGAAAAAGAACAGACGAAAAAGGTCAAACATGGTTCAAAGTATGTTGAAAATTGTAACTTAACCGGATTCAACGTTTTCCTATAGAAGTATAATGTGAACATTTAAAAAGTTACTTCACCACTCATTCTGCCAGTGAGTATCCACTTCGAAAATTATAGAATCGTTGCAGTTATGGAGAGCCATCAATGTCCTATACAAGGAATTTACCACTAAAAAGAATTGGCCAAACAAAATGTCATACGAAATGTATTGCGCATGCGATTGAATATGTTGCCTATTTTACATACTTGTGGCTTATACTGTTTTTGCTCGTTCAGCCAAAGCAGTCGACAATTGGGCTTATAGGAAAACCATGGCTTTCGTACAAGAAGGTACACTTACTATTGGAATGAAAATTTTTGTAGTTGTGGTAAAAGATAAACTAATGAAAAATTAAAGACACTGGCTATTTTCTGTCAATTTTAACCAGCAGTAAACACTTCTTTTACTGAAAATCTGAGTGATATCACTCCAAAATACTTACCCTGTTTGTCGACGGGAATTTTGTAATATGGTGTAATGAAGCAATCAGATGATGAAAGCATCAATTGGTTGGCCACAAATTGGTTATATGTCGTTATAACAAAGATCTTTTTCCTACAGTTGGGTGAATATAATTACTAATTATCCTACACATTAGTGGGGCAGATATTGACGTAAGCACGGGCCATAATGTCTGCACAGTAACGAAATCCGTTGTTACTATAATTTAGCATTAATAAGGAAATATTCTTACGGAACGATAATAGTTCTTATTCTTTCGTCGCGGGATCGTGGATATAGCCGCATAAGTTCCGTAACTTGTATATAAACATCCCTTGCTATAAGTAATTAAGTCGTATAAAAGTCTGTTTTACGTATTTCATTATAAAAGTGAGCGTCATAAGTGATGGCTCTTTCCCGTATGTAGGTCTCCTGAAAATTCTTTCTGTAGTCGTCGACCATGGTGACCACCTTTGAATAGTCGTATTGTTTATTATTATTCATTACCAATGCATATTAACTAAGTAACTCAGTTTTGTTTTAGATTCCGGTCATCAGTATCGTGAACACGTTTACCCTTATGTAAGATAGAATTATTGCGATAAATTAATATCTAACTACTTAAGACATTTTTAAAGGGCTTTCGTCTCGTAAAGCGACACCACACTCGACGGCACTTGGCTTGATTTCATGATAATGACCGACATTAATGCACCGCTCATTGACTGCAGCACAGTATGGTACCTGTGCCCGAACTAGCTTTCCACCGACATCCATTAGACATTAAACTCAGCACATTCTTCATTCAGCATATTTTTCCTTACGAAGACGCATGAAGGGCAGCAGTCAAACTGTCTAGACCTAGTCCTCAAAAATCACAGGACCCATAATGCCAAGTAACCTGAGGCTCGGGATTCAGTGCATTTTAAGGAAAATAGGCTTACAGCTTGGAAATTTCTATTTTTACGTGAAAATCTCCAGTCAGAAACAGTGGTAAGAAGCTGCAGTCAGATGAATGTAGACAGAGTTACAATGGGAGGAATCTCTACTTGAAGAAGCGCACCTGGATTCCCAATAAATCAAATAAAGCCAAACTGCTAGTATAAGTGGTCCGAGCCTAAGCATGATCCAAGCGATTAGAGCACCATCGAAGACTAAAGCAGACCCCAGGTCCTCAGCAAGCGCGGAACCTGGCATTAGCTCTGTCCTAACAAACCCCAGAAGAGCAGAAGAGGAAGACAGCCGGAAGGAGATTAAAACCATCTCACAGGATAAGGCAACACAACAAAGCCCTCGACTGGATCGTAGAAAATGCATTGTCATCAAAGGCATGACTGAAGCTACTCCCGACACCCCGACTCATGAATACAAGAAGACAGGA